TTGGTTGGGCTGAATTGTGGGTTGAGTTAATAGTTTTTTTTAGGATCGTGTTTATTTGGGGGGGTAAATTGAATTCGTTATTTGACGATAAACGTAGGTGGGATATCGTGTTGCAGAGAGTTAATCGTTTTGTGGAGAGTTTACGAATTTTGTTGTTGTTATTGTTATTGTATTGCATCGATATTACAAGAAAGTAGATAAATGTGAAATTAATTTGTGTAATTATGTATTCATTTAATATTGAATTTATTTAATAATAATTGTTATATTGTGTTATAAATATTATTAAATAATGAATATTATATTTCAGTATGTTTAGAATAAATATTATATTTCCTATTGAAATATTAAACACAATATGTTACAGTATAAAAAATAAAATTAAAAATTACATACCCAAAAATTTGAAAATGAAAAAATTCGAATCATTTCTAACAAATTTTTTCTTTTTGTTTCAGGTAAGTTTCCAGTACAAATACTTTGCTTAGAGGAGAACCCGATGTCCATCACTTTGGTAAAGTAAAATTTAAACAATGATTGACAATTCAGTGAATCTCAGATACGTTTTTCGAGTTAATTCTCAGTCGATAAAATATTCAAGGACGATCAGATAAATAAGGGAGGGCACAGATTAAATTTTTTAGCGATGCTGTAAAACTTTATGACAACCGTCATAACCATTGCTCGATTAATTTATTTCAATCACCGTCGATTCCATTTCACGCCAGATTATCCGTGTCAATTATTTCACTCTCTTCATCTCCTTTTTTCTGAATTCTTCGCGTAAATATATATCACCGGACAATAAGCACATAAGATAATCCTTGATACTTGCGATTTAAACAAATGTCGATTTAAATCGATAAATTAAATCCAGTTTAAAACATTCGATTCGTCCATGAATGTTACTAGACGTTTTTTTAACTCTTTAACTTTTTTTGACATATCGTTTTTTAGGAATAATTTTGGAAGAGGAAGTAATTTAAATATCGAGGAAGAAAATTTCTTTTAGATAGATTCTTCTTATTAGATAATTATTATTGTAACTGCATTTTAAATTAAATCATATACACGAAGAAGATACAATTGTATGCAATTTGGAATTTTTAACTGGATTCAAAAAAAAAAAAAAGATTCTAAAGGATTATTAAAATTGTAATTTATCTACTGATTTACAAAATTAAATTAAACTAGCATGTTCTTGAGAAGAACATATAAGAACAAAGAAGAAACTATTCTTTTCCACAAAAGAATATACTTTATTCGATTATACTTTATATGTCTAAAAATAGAGTGCAAAATCATAGATCGTTAGGATCTTACTCTATGATGTAGAGTGGAACCTTTCAGCCCAGGTGTCGATGAAAAAGCATTCTTCCGGTTGCTTGATTCCGAATTTTCAGCAGGCGTTTAACGACTAATCGCTCGCTTGTCGTTCGAGCACTTTGAAATAGGAATCGGAGTGTTCGGCTCTTTCTCAACATCGGTCGCCCGAAGGGAAACGAGCCAGCGAACACGGCTAATGGATTCGTGGCCCATCGTATTCGCATACAGGGTGATTCAAGTGATTTACTCTTCCCCTCCCCCCTCGAATATCTGGATATTGGATTGTTTCCATTGGAAAAATTTTACGCGGATAGATGGATTGTTTTCATCGAATTCATTCTCCCTTTTTATCGTTTTTAAAAAATTTTAAAAATTGGATATCTCAAAAGATTCAACCAACAAACTTTATCAACATTTAGTATTTATAGAATTTTATAGAATTCTAATTTTCCAAAATTTAAATTTCGAAATATATATATAATTTTTGTTTAAACTAATTCCAATCTATATATTTATACTCTCAATACTTTAATCCACGATAAAATCAATGATCATTTAGATCAATTCATTATTTTATTCTTTACAATAAAATTGTATAAACTAAAGTAAAATTTAGAGGTTAGGTTTCAGACGTTCACGTACGTAGAATCATTGTCTTCGTAGACGACATAAATTTATCTTGTTTAATTTGAAAGAGAAAAGATTCCATTCGACGTGTAATATGAATCGAGCTGTACGCGTTCACGCATACGCACACGAGCAGAAGAGTAATGTTTGTTGCGTGGGTGCAGCGTGATACATAGTAATGGAGGAGGGAGAGGGAGCCCATGGCCCGAAGGGCGTCCGAAAATCCGCAGGAATTAACACAACTGAATTTCAAGTGGCCACGTCGAGTTTCGCCTCGGAGCACTTCCATTCGGTCTGTTTCGTTCGGAATCTTGATTATGACACGGTGCAGTAGTTTTAACGAATGTACACCACCGCTCATAATTATTCGAATAACTTCGAAAGTCCATCGACACCGCTTCTATAATTTGAATCCGGAGATAGTTGTTGGAAATCTCCGGGTGAAATGGAATTTTATTGCATTGTTCAGATTAAATGTTTCAATAATAAAACTGGAAATTTGGAAAAATTCTATTTCTAATTTTAAGATTGAAGGAAATAAATATAAAAGCAGGTGGTTGAACGAGTGAATTTAAATATTTTTTTAAAAAATATTTCAAAAAGAAAATAGGAGTATAAAGAAGAATTTTATCAATTAAATTAACAAATTTTAACGTTACGAAATCTTTCGTAAAAGTAATTTTTAGGTCAAAATTCAAGATAAAAATTACTTTTATTATTTCTTAGGAAAAGCATGCTGAAAAATTAGAATTTTACAATGTGCAGTATCGTTTTTCACAATTCTTGAACGAATGATATAAAATATAATTACAATTAAAATAAAAACGGTCTTTGTTATATTAGTATCAACACAGAAGGTTGTTTACTTTCATAATAGCATATAATTTTCACTTTATAATTAAATTGTAGTAAAAGAAGGTATAAAGTTTCAAGTAATAATAAACATTTGCTTTGTTTTTGTTCTCTGAAAAAAGATAATCTCTTGAATTAAAATGTGACTACATAGCCGTGATGAATTACCTCGTGACATTAGATAGTTATGTCGAGTTCTCATGCTCTCTCTTTCTCTCTCACATTGAATTTTGAGCAACCAAGTTACGAACAGAAATTCTCTTCAGAAGAGATATTGTGTTCGTGAAACCGGTAATTTCGGGTAACCGTGGAGATCGTGATGGTACCCGGAGGATCATAGTTAAGGATCGTATCTCATTTTATTAGAGTGGTTATGGAATCGATATTGTTCGAATTTTATGAATTTTTATAAAGGTATTATTTTAGAAGAAGATTTAGAAAATTTAGAAGAAGATTTTTCCCTAATAGAATAAATTATTTCACGATTGTGTATAACTATTTCATAAGTTAAAAGTTTGAAGAATTTTGTTTAGTGATAAATCTTATTTATATATATTTTTCTATATTTATTCCATTTCTTGTTTCCTGAATATAAATTTTATAAATTTTCTTGCAATACTTTCTAAATAATTATAAATTCTTATAACCTATTTCATCATAAAGTGATTTTATTGTAGATATAGATTTCGATATATTTCTTAGAGCAATAGGCGTGTCTGACTTTAAGATCTAGTTTCCACTGCTCATTCCTGACAGAAAATGTGATAAATTTCTTCACGAGTGTCTACAAGTTGTATCGTGTATCGTTCTTTTCCTAAAAAAAATATGTATTTTTTTTTTTAAGTTCAAATTAATTAATTGGCTCACCTAGATCCTATCGATTTTTACATAAATACAGGTTAGGTTAGTTAGTATTAATAATATTCAAGGATAGAGATATATTTTTCAGTCCTCTTGCGATTAGCGATACTAATTGATTTTTTTCATAAGAATGAGTCTCATTAGTTTACTGTTGCAACAAATCATGTTGCTCAGACCGTTCCATGATAATGGCTTCCATTTATATTTCCCTGTCAGTAACTCGTGCTAATAGATTCCTTTCTTAGAAACCTACCACACGTGACGTTAATTCATGTTTCCATAGAAGCCGTTCTCATTCATTTCTCTAGGACACTGGAACGTGTCTCTTTCCTTATGCTATACATTGATTATTTTCTCTCACAATAAGTTTCACTGTATGCTCCTTGTATGCACATACGTATGCACGCTTAACCTATCTTGCCATTGTTGAAACATTATCTAAATTTTTATCTAAATTTTCTAAATCATATTCAATTGTTAATAATCTCTTCAATACAATTATATCTAAAAATTAAAAATTCTTCGATTACAAAAAGATTCCCTCTATGATCCAAGATTTCCAAATTTTCTTTCCATCGATTATTTTCTTTTCAACATCCAATCATCCCCTTATTCCATTTATCTCTTCTCATTATATATCCAATATCCGAAAAATCTAACATAATCGTTTTGATGGATGAACATTGAGGCGAGCCAAAATCGTTAATATTGACCAATTGATATAATATTGACAATACGATTTGATTCTTTGCAACTCCTTTTTCTCAGTCATGTAAACCCCGTCGCGATCCGGCCACGGGGTTTACACAGCTCCTATTCATTCCTTCTCCCTCGTTCGATTCGTCTAAAACTCGTACCACGAGTATAGATCTAGTTACATCGGTTCCGGCGATTATGCGAGGCATTGTCCGCGAACCGGTACATTCGAGATCACAGTGCAAGCGTTATTTGCTCGTGCATTGTCGGCGAATTGCCGTGGCGACCTTTTCGAAGTGTCTCGGAACGGAAACGGCTTGCAATATGTCAGGCACAGGCGAGCGGGCGCAGTTGGTGAATGAAGTCGTTGATTGGACGGTCGCGTAAGTGGATGGTTTTTTTTATCGACGTGAATTACGACCGAGCCGGTCGGTGTCTTGCATTAATTAGGGTTGCCACGGATAAATATGTTACCTCGTTGATTTTATTTCAGACACGAAATTCGTCGTCTTTTAACGGGTGATTTTTTTCTTTTCTTTTTATTACATTTTTAGCGGATGCTTGGTGTTAATTGAACGGTGATTAAGAGTTCTTGAATGGAAGAAAGATAATTTGAGAATTATTACATCTTTTAAACTTTTTCTTTTCGCTTACATTATTTTAGGAGACTTTTATTTGCAATCGATCTTTTTCAAGAGCTTTCTTTTATAAATAATAATTTTTCGAAAACTTTTGGATTAATCTATGAAATTTTATTTTTTATTTTTTATTTTTTTTAATAATATCATAACTTGATAATATTTATGAGAATTAGAATGCAAGGAAAGTAATGAATGATGAGTTATATGTACAGTGCTATAGGAACAAGTTTCTCAGTTACGCTGATTTATCTATCTAGTTTCTTTGCATTAAATGAAACGTAAACTTGAATTACTATATACGATTCAGTAGTAACAATGCACTATAAATGATCCACTTTACAAATGCGACTACTTAATCAGTACACCTACTATTTTCTGAATGAAATAGATGTTCCCTAAGAATCCAGCGCCAGTATCATAAATTTTGCATCTACTCGTTGTAGAAGAGATGTAAAAATTGCATAGAAATATAAATTCATGATATTGCAACATTTCTTAACCAGTAAATATGACATAAATATTCTTTAAATGTCTCTTTACAAATCTCTTGTAAATCTCTTCGTTTAAATCAGAAACAAAAAAGAATTCTTTTACAAAAATATTCTTCCTCTTACAGAATCTTCATAAATCCAGAAAAGAAAATTCTCGAAAGAATCGAAAGTCGAATCAAATATCTCGATAATACTCGATCGACCCTAGAAATTCTTACACCAAACCATTTTTTCCATAAAATGGCGACACTCGCCGCGAAAACACCCTTCGCGAATCGAATTCCTCCTCCCTTCCCCCCTCGATATCCGATTTTCCGCATGGGAAATTCCATCCACGGAATTCAACGCAGGTTCTTCGACCGCCGTTCCATTAACGGTCTTCCAGAAACTCTCGTGTCCCATCCGAGGACACGACGAACCATAGCCATAACTATGCCAAATGTTAAAGCGTACTCCTCTCTCGCTCAATTATGCAACGTGCCGCGAGCGCGTCAAAGGATAGTGTCGGTTCCCTATTTAGCATGGGATTCGCCACGTCTGTGGCCGGCCTCGGGCGATGCGAAACTTTGAACACGTAGAATCGGCCAATTCTATTGGATATCCTGCCGCAAAGACCGAAACTATGCTTCGATGTGACGAAGTTGGACGTGTTTTTTTTTCTTTTTTTTTTTTTTTTCGCTTTCATAAGTGGATTTGACGAGGATCCAGTTTAATTGGATTCTTCCTTTGGCTGATCCCTTTGAAATGAAATAAAGAAATGAATCTATTTATGATAGCGAATAAAAATAGATAATCTTTTTTCTTTTTTTAAACAGAATTTCTATGGAAATTTCTTTTGGAAATTTTTGAACATCTCTTTCGAAATTCTAAGGTTTCTTTCGTTTCGAGAAAAAGAATTAACGAATTGGAATGAAAAATTTGCTTAAAGAAAATGAAAACTTTTAAATTAATATATTAACATATCATTGTTGATCATTGAGATTACAAATTGCATATAGGAAACACACGAAGTCTATGTAATTATAGTTATTAAAATATTTATCATATCCAGAAAATTCACATTATATTACATAATTATTATAAAATATGTAATATATATCATCTACAGCAGAGAAATTTATCAGTTTTATTCATTTAAATAGACCGTCTCTTTTCGCTTATTCAACAGTTCCATTAAAAATAAATACTCTTCTCATTGCTACCCTGTTATCAAACTTTAACAAAAAGAAAAAAGAAAGAAAGAAAATACTTTACATTAACTTGAAAAACATCGAACACAAAATCCCATCCCATCTGCGTCAAAGAATCGATAAGGTAGCAAAAACACGAGTGGAGACACGCGAGGAAGCAAAGCACCTTAATCAACCCGGCGCAGCCCCATCCGAATCGTTATCGCCGCCAAGTCTGAGTGCATTCGAGTTGGGTCCAGAGAGTTATCGTTCCAGAGGCTAACCACTCGAAACGAAGCCTGAGAGTTATCGTTACAGGTCCTCCAATTCCGGTATATCCAATTCCTTCCTTCGCCTCGTAAAGAAGACCTCGAGTGTGTCTCCTCGAACCTCTGTCAGACGGTTCGTGGCCGGAAAATCGAAGGGACATGGCCTGTCCTGTAACTAGACAGGATTTCCGGAGCTTCTAGAAAGCTTCTCGGTGTGGAAGACGGAAATTTGATCGAAACGCTTGATAACCTATGCCCTTTTTCGCATCGCGCGACAGTTGAAGTTTGACAGGCAGCGCCGATTTTCATTGACCGTTTTTCATAGCCTATGCTCTTTTCTGTCACGAGCTCTCGATAGGATAGACGACGAGCTTTGAGCTCGTTATCGGTCGCCCCTCGTTCACGAATGCGCGAGCTCGTGGATTGAGAAGGAGAATTTTTTAGTTGCTCCATGCTCGAAGTGGATGGACCAGGGAAATGGAAGATGGGGATTAACAGAGAGCGAGACAGAGTTTCGACAAAGAGGTGGGGATAGAGCGATTTGAAATTGAAATTTCGAGTTTCTTTTTAATCTAATTTCTTTTAAAATATAAAACTTTATATATGATACTTTCGACGTTTCAATTATATATTTGAACATATTATACATATATAAGATTATCCAAATCTATCAAGATTAAGATATTCAATCATCACACGTTTAATCTTAAACTTACTGCCACATAAATCACGACACATTTCGTCATCGTTCCACGAATAAAATCTTCCCTGAAAAGGAAGCAGAAATAAAAAAAAAAAAGAGAGAACAATAAATAAATTCCACGATAACCAGCTACCGTATGAAACGCGATCTAGAGCCCATTACCCCTTCATCACGGATGATCGAGGCCGTATCTGTTGGCGATCGTTATTCCTTGGCCGGAAGCCACGGGCAGGCAGCCGCTTACCCTAAGCACGTACACGCACGTGCGTGTGTCACTCCACGGTGACGCGTGAGATCCAATAACGCTCGACGAAACACTCGTCTATATGATAATGAAGCGGCGTCGCCGAAATTAATGCCGGTGTATTACGAGGCCCGCCGGTCGAAATCGATCGAGACACGTTCGACTGGATGCCTCCCCGCCCGGATACGATATGACTTCCGCGATCCGCCGAATGAAAATTCAAATCCTCGCGGAGGCTGGTGGTTACGGACGGTGTCCATTACCACCCTAATCGCGGCGCTCGCCAATTTTCCGCGAAGCTTGATTACGCTTCGAACGCTGGGAATCTGGGTCAAATTCGACCGGCCACTCCGGTGTCCGGTTTCCGCGATCCGTTGATTTATCGCGATCGAACACGACCGGGCGAAACAAGAGAGTTGGCGCGCCGTTGCTGTATCGTTGGTGTATCGATATCTACGCTCCGTTTTTGTTCTCACATTTTTCTTTTTCCTCCCCCACTTTTCTTTCTTCTCCTTTTAATAATGAGCTGGTTAGTTAGTTGTATCCGCGCGGTTTGATCTATGGAAGCGAGCATGGTGAAAGTTTTAACGGGCAACGGTTATGGAGAGGTATAAACGTAAATAATGCAAGTTAGACGCTGTTTTGACGAAGTGTAAATTACGAAGCGTGGGTATTTTTACTTCGAAAGATCATCACCGGGTAGATCAAAGATAAATACGCCTTCGGATTCTGTTGATTTGTGCACGTATAGCATATAAAAGGATGAAATATTAGAATTCTTAGCCAGACATAAGTTACTAGATAATTACTAGATCAATTTTAATACAAAAATTTCTTCTCACTTTCTCACTTATCCTTTTCAACCTAACCTCCAATATATCCAAATAAGTTTGTTTCTAAAAAAAAGAGAAAAGGAAAAGACAAAAACTCTTATTTCAAAAAAGAGAAAAAGGAAATTACTTTTTCGTGCGATCTTACGAAATCTCTTAACCTCGAGGACACGTTTGACTGACGCATCTTTCGCCAGTCACAATTCTCTCAATAAACGAGTTCGATAATTTCTAAGTGATTCGCCACTGGGCAACAATGACCCTCGCTGTCTCACAGGATTGAATTAGGGCCGATCCTCGCGGATCCTCCCAACCCCTCTTCGATCGTCCTTGGCGTGGTTCGAGAGGGCGGCCTTCGTGGGAAGGGGCAGCTGCCGCTTTTTGTCTTTCGCCCTCTCGAAACGATATTTAAGCGCCGTTCGATGTTATCGGGCCCGGGGCGATCCAATCGAACACAACACCCCCTTTTTTCCGCCTGTTCACTCGCGTCGATCGATTTGATTTCTCGATGAAAGAAAGATGATACGACAGTTTGGGGTTGACGTTATACGAGATTTATTTTAGGATGATAGGAGGTAGGGATTTTTTGAGAAAGAAAGGTAGGTAAAATGACGCTGTAATATTTTCTATATTCGATATTGTAAATGGTATCGAGATCCCTTTCCTTTTAACTCGATTATAGGGTATATATAAGCTGTTAATTAATTTAATCGGATAATAGAAAAAAAAAGGCTTCTTAGCCTCGAGTTTTGTTTTCCTATTCTAACAAAAAAAACGGTTTCTCACAAACAAACTTCTAAAAACTCTAAGATTAACCCGTTCGTAAAGAGAAACTACTCATAAATCAACAACAACTTTCTCTTTCCTTCGAGACCTCCTCGATCACCATAATCTCATAAAAAGCCGCAACTCACGTACAATCAGATCGCGCAACCATTCATTACCAATCCTGAAACCATCCTCCCCCTCGCCTTAACACCTTCCCTTCGATCATCCTCCCACAACTTTCTCCATCGACCCACATCCTTTCAAAAACCATCGTGAATCACCATTCTCCACACTTCTCCAGACGAAATACCAAATATACAAAACACGCGAAAGAAAAGAAATAAAGAAAAGAAAAGGGAGAAAAAAAAATGGATTCGTTTCGCATGCAAACAACCAGTTTCGCGTACGCGACGTAGCAGATCCATCGAAACGAGCTTTCAACCGAGCCATGAAATTATTTAACCTCTAGTTACGCGAATCGTCCTCGAGTGAGGCGCATTATGCATCCGGCCGGGCGCAGCCGCCACAGTTCGCCCAGTTAAATATTCGTATTCATGTATTCATTGAATAATTGCGGGGATATGCGTGTCTCGTCGTGGTAGGCTCCCGCCCGAGGGTGCCTGCAGCGTGTCCCGCAGGAACACACGGCGAGACACGCCCCACCGATCGGACACGCGGCCAACATCGCGAGAAGCTCGACTTTCACGGCTCGGGGACCACCCTGGGAGGGTCGTCCTCTTCCCGGTTTCGATGGAGTAGCACCTGTTACCCGCCGGTGGACAAGTGTTTTTTAGGAACACCGCCCATCCTCGCTCTCCCTCTTTTGTCTCCGAAGGGTGACGGGAGAGAAGGGGAATGAGCATGAAAAGGGTGAGGCCGCCTGAATGGAGGATGCCTGTTTAATTGATCAAACCGACGCTGCTACCGTTTTGCACACTGCCGAACTACGAATTTGGTAATTTCTGTCATCAGCTTGATGGATTAACATCCGCGTTTATTTAGTTAGCGGGGTAAGTTGAGGCTTTTGAAGATGTGGAAATTAAGGATTTTGGTAATTTGACAGGGGTTTTATTATATTTGTATTTATTTATTAATACAATACAATACAATACAATATTTATAATTTATTATATTGTATTTGTATTGTATTTTATTGGCCTATTATATTTGTATGTATAAGATAGATCGTATGAGGAGGTTTATGATTGATTTCGTATGTGGGTATTTAAGATAATGAAATTTGTTTGGAATTTTGATTATGATTTTTAGTATCTATTGGCGGAATATATAGCACGTCTGTCGTTAAGATTTGCCATTATTGCGATATGTTACGAGTATTATTTTCCTGGAATGAGTAAGATTAAAGACAGCGAAAGAGTGGGATGTAGCAAGATATGGGGAACAAGGTTACGCATCACGTATGAACTATTGATTATGGAATTGGCATATGAATTGGTAATTCCCTGATGACGAAACCTACATCAAATATGCATTACCTTTAACAGGTGTAACAAGCAATGCCCGACTATGCTAATAATAACCTAGAATCCAAATATAATATAATGGAAAGTAAATTAAATGAATAAAACACGGTAACAGGAAAATATCACGTAACAAATTAATCAGAATTTCAAATGTTTAAAAGCAACTATGTTTCTTCAAGATTTTTTGCATTTCCTTATTATAATTGCATCGAGAAATCTAGTTTTAGATGATAGTTTTCTCTATTTTAAAATATTTATTACATTGCACGATAAATAATATCCTCTCTTTTGATAGCTTTTACATAGCTAATAAAAATTCAGGATACAAAATAAAATGAAACAGTTTGAAATAAACTATTTTTTATTTCAATTCTTTCTTAAAGTTTACCAAATTTCTACCGCAATAGGATTTTTCGATTAAATTCACAAGATTGTTAACTTTTCACTTTTCAAAATTGAACACTCAAAAATATTGGACCAATTTTTGGAAAATTTTATCAAATCAACTCATCGATCAATCATTTCCAAACTTTCCCATCGACAATCTAAATACATGATTTGTACAATTCCACGATTGCTGTTGTAATTTTCATATAACGTTACAAATTTTCGTAACAAGTTACCCGAGAAAATTGACAAGCCCGTCGTCACGGGTTTTGATTTAAGGAGGCCGGGTATCGGGTATTATGAATATAAATGAACAGTTTGAAACGCAACCCTGGGGAGAAGGAATTTCTGGTCGAGGGCTAGAGCAACGACGTATTAAATCAGAAGTGCCGGGAGGTTAACGCTCAACTAAACTTAAACTCGGAGGATAAGATATATTATTTATTATATTATATTTATTTAACCGAGGGCTGTACTTGTTGTTGGAAAACGACGACGCTCGAACAATCTTCCGATTAAATTTCCAAACAATTTCGTTGTTAGAAATATCGAAAGGCGTGAAAAAAAAAAAAAAAATAGCGAGAAACAAGCGAAAGATCATCGGACGTGAGAAGTTTGGAAGGGTAATTTTCGCCCTATGAAATTTCGATAATTTCTAATTGGACGACCATCTATCATTCTCGTTACGCCGCGCTTCAGGCACTCGACGTATGCCCGTTTCAGAGAAGCCTTGTCCATTATTATTGGGACATTTGATTTAGCATTGATAATTTAGGATTGACCTAAATATTTGATGGGAATTTGCGCAATTTAAGCTAATATCAAATCGTATGGAAATTATATGCTGACCAAGCATTATTTAGCATACCTAGCATACGAAAGTATATTGCATCTAATTAACGTTTTAAAATCATTTTTAAATGATAATTAATTTATCCACTTCTGCTCTTTGCTTTATCGTATTGTTATATCTCGTTGTATAAATTATTATATCGCGGGTAATTTAATCAGATTTATTCAATTTGAAAAGCAATCAATTATTTTCGCAACCAGCTTCTTCTTTCAATTAATACGATATATTAATACTTCTTACAATTTTATTCAAAATATTAAAACCTACACCAAAATAGAATCGAAGATAACACGCTTGCGTTGGAACTGTTTAAAAACAAAAATATTATTATATCGAAGTATTAAATTTAATCTTTCCAAGAAAGAAAAACCAACAACAAATACAAACTTTCGATATATATACTCGATCCACCTCTATTACTCACCAGAGAGCTAAACAAACGCGTGGTAACGCCGTCGTGACAAAAGAGAATACCGTAATACACCGTCCAAGTCGTGTACACCCGTCGAATCTACGAGGCGTAGAATTAGAAATTGGATCCGGTGTGCGTTCACCCTTCGTCCCCATTAACCACGTCGCGTCCCGGTTAATCCCATCGTCCAGAAACAGGGGGGCTCCTCCCCCCTCGTAGTTGCATAGTCATGGATCGTGCATGGGGTACGAGGTGGCGGAAAATAGTTACAAAACAGAAGCGATCGGAGGGGGGCAGAATAACTGTGCGGCAAAAAGGGCTTCGAGGTGGTTGGATGGATCTGTCCCGCAATGTTCGGTAGTGTGAAAATATTCCTATCGGGGGAGGAATGGGCCCCCCCTTTGGCAATGTCTCACGAGCCCGTGGGGAGGCTGGAAAAAGATTAAGTATCCCTTGCTCGGGGTGCACGTGGAACGTTTCTCGTTAGATGCGTCACGCTGCTTCGTCTTCCTCTTTCCTCGTCCGGCTCGTCGATATTAACGTATGGATATAGGTGCGTGAGGAAGGATAATATATATATGTGTATGTGTGTATGCGTGGAACAAAGGATCTCGTTAGCAATCGCGACCGATTTATTGCGTATCTTCGAGAGAGGGAGGAATTCTTTGTTTGGAATTTAATTGCGTTCGGTTAGATGGGAAAGGTGTTATTGGTTATGGTTTTCCGTTATGCTTGGTTATGATTCATAGAGGTTTGTAATATTTTGGGAAAGGTGGGATGCGCGATTAGTCGTAATGATTTTCCTTGAAATTGAATTTGTTCCTCGTACGTTCGTTTTCTCTTCGATGTGAAATTTGTAGAAATATTTAAAGGAGGAAGAGATTGAAAGATAGAAAGGAATATATTTTGATTTCTTAATTAAAGAAATTTTCTTATAATAAATAATCAAGATTCGTTCATTTAAACATCCTATTCGATACGAATATCCATTATCTTCGATCTCCCTTGAAACTCATTCCAAAGGGATGAAACTGCGAAACATGCTTCCATTCGAACAAAAAGGAACGTGCACGCAAAAAAAAAAAAAAAGAAAAGAAACAGAAACCCGAAAGAAAAACTAAAAAAAAAAAA